AGTAAAACATTTTCTAAGAAAATAAATTCCCTGTAAAACATTTTCTTTCCACCCTTACAAACAAACGAACTCTAAGCTCTTTTGAAAAGTACTAGTGGAGGAACGTGCAATGAACGTGTTCGAGTTTAGTTTGGTACTATATAGTGTATGATGTTATAGATGGTGAAATCCTTGCCGTAAAAATCCTGGCCACTTTACTTGGTGGAGCTCTCATCTCCTCTTATAGTAGAAGGTTCGAAAGAAATACTAAGAGTTTAAAATGTCATAGTTTCTAAATTTTGTAAAGCAAATGCTGAAAGTACAATTAAATGGGTAATAATTTCAACTTTAAATTAGTAAATTGTATAAATTAGAATAACTGGATGGTTAAAGAAGGTAAGCTTTGGTGTGGCTATTTTGAACTTCTTTCGATTATGTGTAACTGTTGGTTGACCATCTATTTCTTTTCGTTGTGCATCACGTAACTCTTTTGATTGGGCGTATAATTCTTGACGGCTGAATTTTTTTCTTCTTTTAGCATAAATTTCTTTGCATTGTTTTTTCATAATATTTTTACTCACGATTTATCAAAATTTGGACATGAATACCTACCATTCCCAGTGTAGTTGGCATTAACAGGTCTATGGAGACAAAAAAAAAAAAAAAGGGCACTATGGAGACCAAAAAAAAGAGAAAAAAATGCAAGGAAAATTTAATTTCAGTGTGCGTAGACGAGAAAAGGTTTTACCATAACAAAAATGGCAAAAAAAAAAAAAATTAATCAAATTTCGCCGTGTGCGAATGGGGAGTATCAAAAAAGATAAAGAAAAGTCAATTTTAGAGTTTTAAAATAATTTGAAATGAAAAAAAAACTTATGGGTCGAGAGGGAAAGTGGCAAAGTATGAGTAACTCGGTTGTATAATTTCTTTTTTTTTAAATAAGTCAGCAAATTTCACCGCCAAAGTTTGAAGAATTTTATAGAGGAGTTTTTTATGTAACGGTTGTTAAGGACTTATCAAATTCCGCCAAAATTAAACTATTGTTTGTGCTTGAACAAAACTATAGCTTAAATCTTTATAAAACATGGTTTGACAACATGCTATGTCTTAGGATTGAAATTTAGTAGTCAAACAAATGAAAAATTTCAACGGTGCAAAAATTAAATCATTCGCCATTTGTTACATGCATAAACCAACATGTGTGTGTATGTGTGAAAATATAGTTGAAAGTCACTTTTTTATAGTAGGTGGGCGGAGGGAAGAGGGTATGGAAATACCGTGTCGTCATCGTCTGGATTACCATTATGTATTTAATTATAAAGTATTTTGTATTAGAAAATAAACGATGCCTAATTATAATATTGAGTTAGAGAAGAAATTTATTGGAAATAAATTTTAACGTTCGTCATTTATTCGATGTTATGTGGAGTGAAAATATGCCTATTTGCTTGTCTGAAATCTATGCAATGCATAGCATCTCTAATGTATTTCCAGAATTGCTTAAAAGTTTACTACACAAACAAAAATAGAAGACATTTAGCCCCTGTTTGGCACTCTCCTATTAAATTAAAATTTATTTTTTCTCTTTTCTTATCAATTACAAATTCTTGTTATGGTTTTGATGATTCTTAGATGTTGAGTTTCTATTGTTTTGAGGTCATATGTATTGAAATGCGAAGTGATGAGAACTGATGCTAATGGTGCATCATTTTTGATATTTTTTACACTATGCATGACATATTATAGTATAACGAAGATTCATTGATTGAATTAGTGACGCACTGATTGAACTAATAATGTGACGACTGGATGGTTTGTTTGGGATGATGATCAGATAGATGATGAAAATTTTTATTTTAGGCATGTCTAGAAAATGGTTCGTAGTTGACGTTTGAAAATGAAAATGATGCAAGAAGAAAGAAATAACGAGGATGAAGGGCAAATTGGTCATACAAAATAATTGGTGTGATCAAGAAGTATTTACGGAGTAGACAATATTGGTTAATGATATGTATCACATTCATTTTAAAAGTTATTTTTTATATGGAAGGTTTGAATTTGACAAACACGTGTTGCACAACTAATTTTATTGATATAATAAATAAAAGAGAAATGTTAAATGTACACCAAAGTTGACACTTTTTTGAGAGGGTGTATATGGCGTACTTTAAGGATTGGATCTGTTTCACTTTTCATCTAAATTATGCCTGCAAGTTTTTTTCTCCAATTGACAAATTTCATTATCAATCTTTCAATCTTTAGGAAAACAAGTAAGTTTTATGAATAAAGAGAAAGAGCTTATGCAAAAAACTATCAGAAGGAGACGTGATTTCGATCAACTTTGTGTCAGTCAGTTTTCAGAAATAGTGACTAAAAAAGATACTGCGAGAAAAAGAAGAAAGAAGGTATAGCATATATGGTAGCGAGGCAAATACATTGGCTACAACTTCATAACATTTGTTGGTTCCTCAGATGGTAAGTACTGGCGCAACCTTCGGCGCTTTACTACACTTGAAATATTTTTTTCTAGTTTTTTTAACATGTTTCTGTTGATACGACATGATGAAATTAAGCGTCTGCTGGAAAAGTTCTATCAAAGTTAACACAGTGGCTGTGCAAATGTTGAAGTCAAATCTTTTAGAGCTGTCCTTTAATATTATTATGAGAATGGTGGTTGGGAAGCGATATTTTGGAGAAAAGGAGGACAGCAAGGAGGCAAAACATTTCTGCGAACTTATTGATGAAGCGTTTTCACTTGGTGTCGGTTCAAATTTAGGAGATTTTCTTCTACTTTTGAGATGGATGGATTACAAAGGGCATTAGAAGAATTTGGCTAGGTTAAGAATATTACACAGATATAATCATCAAAGGGATTATGACAGTGAAACTTTCAATTTTTTTTTCATGTCTTTCTGGAGTATTAAAAACAATTTGAATTTGAACTTATTTTAGTGTGTGAATTTGTAAATGAGAAGTTATGTTAAATGCTGGATAGATATCTCTGCAGTGACCATAGAATGGGATTTGTGGGCTTTGCTCAACTACCAGGAGAAGCTGGAAAGGGCTAAAGGTGAGATTGATAGTCTTGTGGGCAATGATCATCTAGTTGTGGAATCAGATTTGTCTAAACTTTATTACTTACAAACAGTTATTTCTGAGACTTTTAGATTGTTCCTAGCAGCTCTATTGGTCGTGCCACATGAAGCATCAGATAACTGTAGAATCACGCATGAGACTATGAGAAATTCAACCTTGCTTTCTTTAGGCAATTTAGAAACCTAAT